ATGTCCCTCACTAGCTATTCCTGAGATGAAAGAAGTGGTATTATAATTACTACAGCACCATCCTGCTGCAAATTGACTTCTTGTGCTTGGTTACCTACCACAGATTTAATCCGTGAGCGTAACAGGCTTTTCTGTGTGTTTTCACAGCCTGGCTCTTCAGAGGAAGGCTCTTTGTTCCCAACTAGGATGATAAATGGGTTTTAGCTTTATTTGCTCAGAGGGAAGCTTATGTGATTGCGTTGTCTGTCATCTGTCTACACCGGTAAGGTTTTAACCGCCACAGCCAATTGTAATTATCTGCAAAGAACAAAATTGCTAGAGGCAGCCATCTCCATGATAATTGTATTTCTATGGATTTTGTGAAAGACTGCAGCAGGCAGGGTTGGGGCTAGGGAGGAGGAGGGAGAGGACAGAGTGCAAGACCACACTGAGAAATGTGTCAAGGCAATCTGTGAGGCCTCAGCTGATCCTCAGCACATCCTGGCCGAAGGCAGGCAGCCAGGCTGCAGGCACTAGAGGCTCAGTCGGCATGGGTGTCCCTCCAAACGGCTCACAAGATGCACCACCTCTCACCAGTGGGTACTGTTTCATAGGTGGCACTACTGTGGCTGCAGCTTCCACTGTGCAGAGGGGGAGTGGGCACAGACCTTTGTTCTGCCAGCTTTGATGGAGGGAAAAGATTCTGTTGATGCAGGCAGTGGTACCCTTTCACCCTGGGCTGTACTTGCAGGATGGCTGCTGGGATGGTAGGTGCCTCCAGGGAGGATGGATTGGCTCAGCGCAAGGCATGGTTAGGCTCCATGCTGTAACTGAACATAATAGGTGTGTTGCTAACAAATACTTGTAACGCGGAGGACAGCGTGTTCCCTGTGCTCAGAGATCTGCCAACACACTAATAAAAGCTTTTTGAGGCCAGGTTTGCAAATGCATTTAGGCAACTGAGCCAAGATATCGGAAGATAGGTAGAGCCTAATTCTGTCTGACATCAAAAGGGATTCTGACTTGCCCTGCCTAGGAAGTAATGTCTTGAAACAGCTTTAAAACTATGAGCCTCTCTTAAATATTTCAGAATTGACCCTCTCTCTGAGTGCATCTTGACTGCGGTGAGAGGTTTCTTGAACTGTCCTTGAGAACTGAGTAGACAATTACAGCTTTTGCTAAACTGAACCATTCCCTAGAATGATACATACAGTTTCACCATCTCAGAGCTTCCTTGGAAGGGGAAAAATGGCCACGGTGAAAGCAGATCACCATTGTCACCACCTAAATACCGTAAGGTGTGATTTCTTTCAGTGTAGTCTATTGTTCAAGACAGTCAGATCCAGTTCTCCAGGCGTCTCACTGGAGGGCAGCTGCAAGTAACAGCCAAGACCTAGATAGCATTGGTAACCTAAGGTGTCTTGGGCAGTGGCCTGCAGTGGGTGTTCAGTGACCTCAACTGCAAATCTCAGTGAATTCAGGAGCCCTCGTGGCAGGAGAACGTTTCCCAGGCTGGGTTTCCAGAGGCCACTGAGTCACTAACGGGATAAGCTTTATAAGATGAATAGAGAATGCAAAACAAAAATGGAAATGCAAAAATATGCACTCAGAGAGACAACAGGAGAGTGAGGAAGGAGAGGGGAGAGCATGAAAGATGTGCTATTTCCTAAAACAATTAGTTTTGAAATGGAGGAAAAATGAGTGCATTTTAGCCCTATCAAGCAATGTGAAAAGTTAGCACTTTTTCCCAGCACTGCTTTGGTTTTGACTAGGTCTCCAGCAACTATTACTCAAAGTTAAATCAGGCTTTGGTCTTTGGGAGCTTTTTTAGTGTGCTTGTACTTAGAAGACCATTAATATTTATACTTGTCACTTGAATCCCATTTTTACTCTTGCGCAGGCAGGATCTCACATAAGAAGAAAATATTGTTGCTCTTTTTTTTTTTTTAAATATAATTATAGTAAGTTTAGGGTTTAAGCTGTTCTAAAAATGTCATATTTTATGCATCTGTAATGTATAGTTTTGGTAGCCTGCCTGTGCCCCCAAGATGGGATTGAGGGATCATAGGCCTGGGGTATGGAGTCTATTCTCAGCTCTGCCACTGGCTAACTATGCAACCTTAGTCAGTTCGTTTAACCTCAGCATGCCTCAGTTTCCAGGTGAAAAAGGAGAGGGATAACAGGCTCCTTTGTGAATGCTTTTTGGTGCTTGAGGGAGAACAAGGTATTACCCATCATGTTGCTGCTGTGCTGTGACTTCTGGGTCTGGATGGGTTCTGTGAGCGCTAGGATACATACGTCAGGGGAGTCCAGGAACACAGATGGAGATCTGGCAACTGCATTTCTTGCTGAGGGAGACAGCCCTCACAGTCAGTTTGACAAATCACAGCCACAGACACCCTCTGCTTTAGGCAGGAAGGCTTATATGTCACTTTCAAGCATTTTCCTGCCAGTAGCAGCCATCACTGCCTCCTGTACATGGGCTTGTGTATGTGATTAATGCCTGCTGCAGCTTCACTTGCTGACCCCTGACAGTGATCAATGGCACACTGAAGAACAGTAAATCAGTATAAAATAACAGATCAGTGCCTAGTAGTGGTAATAAAACACTTGTCTAATTTAAAGACTAAATGTGTGCCTTGGAAAGCATAAATGAGGGACTCATACACAGTTGTTGAAATGCATGATCTATTGCTTTTGGAGCACCTAGACCCAGTATGCAAGTCGGAGATGGGTCACAGCTCTAGAGGGACATGCAGTACTGATGGGAAAAAGAGAGGAAAATGGTCCCAGTGGTGTTAGAAGAAACGGTTAAAAGCATGCAGGTCTTTTATTACAGCAGGATGTGCTTTGCATACCTGGCTCAGAAAGGAAAGCAGAACTGCCTAAGCTTTCTCTCAGCAGGCATTAGAAGCACCAGAACTGCCTCGTGCTGCACGATCCTGCTTCCTGAAAACATCAGCAAGCAAAGGCAGTGCAGGCCTTTCTCAGCAGCAGAAGAGGAAGCGTTACAAGACAAAGCAGTGCAAATGCACGCCTAGCTGGATGGCACAGCTATCTCTAGAAAAAATCAGGGAAGCTGTATGCACAGCGTTATCTTTCTGGGATTCGTGCAACCCGATTCAGTCGTATCGAGAGACAGCACCTGATGCAAAGCAACACTCTCTAATGCAAGACTCCTCACTGTATGAAATCGCCCGTGTGCGGTTTTGCTTTTAGGCTAGCGTGGGTGTGCTACGTTCCACCTTAGCAACGGCAACAAACGTGTGCTGCAGCTGCAGCCCTCTCCTCTTTGCAGCAGGAGGAGAGCATCCCCAACTGTCTCACAACCACCATGCTGCTCAGCTCCCCACGGAGCTGACCCTGTCCCCCAGTGCCTTCCTGTGGCTCTCAGCACGCTGGCACCGTGTCAGGAGCTACAACTGAAGCAGACAAATCTTCCCAGCTACGCTCTGCTTCAGCCTGTTTCTTCTGGTCTCCAGAGAGCATCATCTGAATCAGTCTGGCAGAAGCAGGATCAGCTGCTTCATGCCAGCCCCCTCCATCGTTCCTGGAGTCAGATGGCTCCCACTGCTCAAACCCTTTTAATAAACTTGAATGCCAGAGAATGTCTGAGAGCTTTACGAGTATCTGGAGAAACCACACACCGTAGTCAAGGCATCGGTATCCATTAGTAACTTATGGAAGGCTGGGGAAGGATTTAAGAGCATAGAGTGTCAGGAAGCAGGGGGTGTGGGGAAGAACCACCCAAGCCAGTATTAACGTTGGAGCTAAAAAAAATACCATAAATATAGTAAAACCATGTGAAACATAAAAACCATGGAAATTTGGTTTCTCCTAGAATTTTTATTCTGGCCTGGTTTTCATCCTCTGTTGAACTTTAGGACTTGTAAAAATATATGTGTGTGTTTATATATAGATATATATAATAGAATCATAGAATGGTTTGGGTTGGAAGGGACCTTAACAACCATCCAGTTCCAACCCCCTGCTGTGAGATGGGACCCCATCCACTACCCTGCGTTGCTCAAAGCCACATCCAGGCTGGCCTTGAACATACATGTACACACGTGTGCGTGTTCCTCGAGTATATTCAACAGTCCACCTTTTAATGCTTCACCAACACATACCCCTGAGAACAAAGAACACATTTAGGGTGCGAGTATTCACAAATCTAAAACTCTGAGATAATTCTACCTTAAAAACGTTCTAAAGAGGGCTGCTTCTGGAGGAAAACAACGTTTGTCGAACGGCTCCTGAAATAGTCAGCTTCCACGAAGGAAGGAGGTGAAGAGGGAGTCTCTCCTCGCTTTTAATTGCAGGACAATAACGGATCGTTTACAAGCTCCTCATCCAGTGTTTTGCGCTATCTTCTCAGACTCTTCCAGCCCTACGTGGGGCCCAATACCGGTTGGCCGTTGAGGGGGCTGTGGGGAGCCGGCGGGACGCGTCCCCAGCTCTGCCGGAAGCAAGCGTGTCGCTGGCCGGGGCCGGTTTTACACCGAGGTCGTTAACGACGAGAACCGGCTCCGTTCTCCTCCCCTTTTTATCTGTAAGGGCCGTGTCAGGTGATTAACGACAAACGCACCGAAAGCGCCCGCCGCCCCTTCCTCCCGCCTCGTTAGTCAGCCATTTTATCCAGCCGTTACTCAACGCACGGCCTCGGCACTCGGTGGGGGGAAACAAACGAGCCGCCATGACCGCAGAGCTCAAGCGGCCAAGGGAACCACGTCCTCATAACGAGTTAACGAGCAAGGGCACAGCGTTGCTGGCGCTGCTCCCGCCGGCCGTTCTGGCCTCCCGGGGCGACGGATAGAAACGGGGCCGCTCCCGCCTGCGGAGCCGAGAGCCCCTCACCTCAGCCCTGCGCGCCCACCTCCATCACCGCGCTGCGGGGGCGTCCAACAGGGGCTCGCGTCGCCAGCCCCCGCTCCAGCGGCCGCAGCCAATCAGCGGCGGGGGACGCCCCCTCCTCACCCGTACGCCCCGCCCCGTGCGCGGAGCCGCCCGCCCGCCCGCTGCGGCGACCAGCTCCGGAGGCCGAGGGGCTGCCTGGCCGCGCCGCCGCTCCGCCATGTGGCTGCTGCCTGCTTGGGTGCTGCTCAGCGCCGTGGGCGCCGGTGAGTCCTCGCCGCCTTCCCTCTCTCTTCCTCCTCCTCCTCCTCGTCCCACCTCTGAAGCTGGGCCCGCGGTACCGGGCCTGAGGCAGCCCCGTGCTCCCCCCCCGGGTTCTGGTGCCGGCGCCCCGGCGGGGCCGCGGTGGGGAGGGTTGTGCGGGCGGGAGAGCGGAGCCGCCTCCCCCGGCCCGCGCAGCCGTTGGGCAGGAGGGAAGCGGAGGGGCGGGTGCATCCTGGCGGCGGCGGAACGGGGCGTGGGGCGGCCGGTCCCCCGGAGGGAGCGGAGCGTCGCCTGCCCGCCCTGCTGCCGGGGTAACCGGGGGGGGCCGGTCCCTCCGCTCGGCGTGGGGGCTCCGGTTGTCCCTATCGAGCATCGAGCAGCGACCGCGGCGGCAGGCGTGTGTGGCTGCGGGCGGATTAGCTGTGGCTTGCGGTGCTTGGGGTGAAGCGGGGCTTCCTCCAGCCCTTACCGCTTCCCTCGTTCTCCCGGTTTTGGGAATGCGTTGCTTCTTGCTGAAAGTGCGGGGGAGACGAGAGAGCAGCGCAGAGCTGCTCGTCTTGTGCTTAGTAGCGCTAGGGCAGCTTAGCTCGGTGTGCTTCGAGAGCCAGCGATGATCAAAGTGGTTGTTTGTATAGGGTTGAGGGCATTCCTCGATCTTAAAAAGTTTGGGTGCCGCTGATGTGTAAATAACATCTCGAAGTCTGCGTGCCACTGATGTGTAAATGACATCTCGCAACCTGACTTACGTTTAATATGCCTCAAGAAGAAACTCGATGGGAGCAGGGAGAGTTAAGGAAAACCCCAAACCCATAACGTTTTCATTGAGGTGCAGATGATGATGTGCTCTTTACTGGCAAACCCCCTGTGTTTAAAGCTGATATTCAAACTCATGGCTGGGTTCCTGAATTAGCAGTAGACAGGCTTAAATGCTGAGTGCCCTTGCATGTTTTGTGGTCAGTGGGAAATGCAAGTGTCCATCAGGCCGGGCTTAGCCAATGTTGACATAATGTGCAGTATCCCCAGATTTGCACTGCGTGTATTATTTGAAACAGCTTTTCAGTGGCGGCTTCACAACTCAGTGTTCTTCAGGAGTAGCCTCTCTCAAACTGCTTAGTATAAGGCTCTTTTAAAATGGTCACTTTAATGAGACAAAACTGATAGATAAACCATGAAAAGTGTGGGGCTGGTAGTCCACTTCCTGCAGGATTTGTTGCCAAAGGGGTTCTTCTGATGACTTCCTCATCCCATGAGAAAAACTGTCTGAAGCTGGTAGTGACGGTAGAATCTATAGCGAAGTTGCCAAGTTCCCTTTAGGGGGATAGCAGCTATGCAACCTCTTCTACTAAAGCAGTCATATTTGAAGAGGACTGATGCGCATGTAGTGTGCTGCTTCTGTCGGTGCCCGTCTGCAGTTATCTCTGCTCGTTATCTCCCCAGCACTCTGCTGGTGGAGCAGTTTATGAGTGCTTCTTAATTGGCTTCAGGCAAAAACATGCCAGCTCTCATAGACTACACAACAGCAAACTGGTGGAATCGGTAATTTACCAGCCCCCTGCCATTCTGTGCTAATACGAGGGTGCTAATAAATTGTGCTAGATTGGTTTTAATTCCTTCAAGATGCCTGGGTTTTATTTGCTTTGGTAAATGTTTGGAAGCGTAGTTGCTTCCTTTAGTTGGAAAGCACCTTTCTCAATGAAATGGAGCCAGCAGTGAATGAATTCTTCTATGAAATATAAATGTGCTAGCTCTAGGGTAGAAAAAACCCTCCAAATCCAAACAAAACACAAAACCTAACAACCCCACACTCATAAACCTTTTGTTGTGAAATAGCATTAAAGTAAACCAGATGTGATTTCCCCCCCCAAGAACTGTTGAAGCACTACAGCTTTAAACTGTGTGCATGTGCTTCTTATTAGGGCATAGTTTGAGGTTTGGCTACAGTTTGCCTTCGTTCTGCTTTTGTTACTTTCAGTTTTCAAGGTATGGTTAAAATAGTGCAACGCAGCGAATAAACCGAAGAATAATTCCTCCTTCGTTGTAAAAGTGCTGTCATGCATAATATGCATAGAGCCGGTTTATTACAAACTTTTGATATTCAGTAGTAATCCAGTGACCCATGTGAGAATACTAAAGCAGTGTTTCAAAGATCAGTGCTTTTTACACTTGATCTGAGACTCTGTGGCTGCTGCAGATAGTGACACAACTTGTATTGGGTTTTATTGGTTTTTCCCTTTCTCCCTTTCCCGTAACTGAATTTAGTCAGCAAATACCTGCCACGCTGCTGAGCTGGTTTATACCTGTGAAAACCAGTGGCTCCTCTGAAGTCACTGGAGAAACTCCAGTGTGTAAGGCTGTGTGCTTACGGTATAAGGGGTTGCGGTCTTGTTTTACAGCACTTATCTTTTCCTGTATTTGGGTTTATCAGTTGGATATAATCAAGTGTTTTGCATGTTTAATGCCACCATGACTCTGGGGAGCGATGACTATCAGGATATCTGTTAAACCAAGTTACAATTTCATGTAAGTGAGGAAAAACGTGGAAAAGATTGCGAGCCTTCATATTTTGCAGTTAAGCTAGTTTAATTAATCCCTCTCTTCTGGTTCCAGGTGCAATTTAAATACCAATGTTACCATTTTTAGTATTCCCAAAACCAGAAAGATCTTCGTTTCCAGTAAAATCTCGGCATACAATGAGGTCTTTCTTGCAACAGTGGTCAGGCAGTACTGCTGTTTTAGAACTGTGCTGCAGTGTGGGAGAAAAAGGGTAACAGCCAGCAGTGATAACTTAGCCCTGTGTTGTGGTGATTTTTCATTGCCTGCATTTGAATGGTAGCATTAGTATTGCTTACAGTGGTTTATAATAAAGGTCATTTATTGTTATATATTCTCCATTTTCAGTTCTATTGTCTATATGCTCAAATACTAAGTCAGTAATAATCTTATTTAATACATGGTATTATGTGTGCACCTCCTCTGTCAGAAAGGAAAAGAGAGAATTTGCAGGGAGCCATCTAAACCTATGGACATTTGGCTCCACCTTCAGAGGCAAGAAGGAACAAATGACAAACCTCTGTTGACTAAGCTGCCCTGCCAGCCTTCTCAGAAGAGTATAAGTAGAATTCTTTCCTTGAAGAACTGTAATAGATGCTTGCGTGGAGCTGATGCCTGGACCTCCCTTTTTACATCCCCGTGGGATCGGCAAACATTTGACCATCAATGGGACAAGCCGTGGTTAATGTTATGTGTGTGCTTTGCAGAAACCAGGCCTTAGTGCAGTATTGCTGCCTATGGCATGCTAGGGGAAGTGTCCGAGTAAGTGGCAACCCAAGGCTTTATTTCTTTTTTCTTTCTTTTGTTCTTGTTTTCTAATTTATGCTAGGCTGTGGCATCTATACATTAAACGGATGTGAGAATGGCTAAGTCTGTATAGAGGGGCTGTGGTAGAATTAGAGTGATTATATAATTAATGCCTTTCTTCCTCCTTCCTTAAAAGATGGTTCTCTTTGTGCGGTTTCATGGGAGAGGTTGTTTCGTTTTCCCAAGTCACGTGTTGTCATTATTTTTTCCTTTCTTCCTTTTATTGTATATTAAGGAATAATTCTGAATGTGTCCCTTTTCGTTTTTCTTTGTAGGTTCTGCCCAGTTGATATTTAGTGGGACAGATGTTGTTGAAAGAACTGACTGTAATAAAACTGTCATTTTACCTTGCTATGTGACTAATCTGAAGGAGAACAACACAAATGTCATGTTTGTGACGTGGAAAAAACAAGGAAATATCATTTTTTCTTTTGATGGAAGAAAACAGGAGTTTTTCAGAGATCCCGAGTTTCGATCAGCTGACTTAGTATCTCAGGTGGATTTACCCAAAGGTATTGCCTCTCTGATGCTTAGCGGTGCAGAAGCAGCTGTTGGAAATTACAGCTGTGAAGTAACAGAATCAAACAGAGAAGGAGAAACGAGAATTGAACTTAGAAACCACTCAGGTGAGTTGCCTGCCATTGTTTTAGAACCCGTTGGGAGAGAAAACAAGCAAAATCTTACAGGCAAGAGAAAAATAATGACTATGACAATGTATTACTTGAAATTGAAAATAGGAAACCTGTACCACCCAAGCCTTCTAACTTGAATGCCAATGCAAGTTATTTTGTGTTAAGTTATAGGGGAGTGCTTCTGTGGGGAAAGATCTGAACACATTTTTTGATTCTATAATAACATCTAAAGATCATCTACATGCTGAAACATAGTCTCAGTATCTTTGTAATGCTGACGTGAATATGACCATCACAGTGGCTGCAGAGATCTTGTCTTTGAAGAATTGCTTCTTGGAATCTTTAGTGATGCTGGAAAAATCAACAGGCAAAACTAATAGGAATTCTGTATAAGAACTTGAAAACTTGATCTGAAGATAGGCAGTTTTCTAGTGATGTTGAAAATGCTGCTTCTAGGTAGTAACTTGTAATGGTTGTCTAGCATTAAATGTCATCTTCAGAAGGCAATGTGTAAAGTAATGGTGACAAAGTGATACATTTCTCATTTAGGGAGCCGTTTGACCTTATTTTGTCAGACGCAGCCCATGTGCTCTAGCTCCTCAGCTATTGAATAATGGGATCTGCTGTATATGTGCAGTCTGCCTAGCGTTCTGCAGAAGGGACGGTTTCACTGAGTATAGATGTGTGGTGTTTATCTGTTCTGTGCAGGAGACCTGCCCCTTGCTTCTGGAATGCCGCTCAGAAGCGCTGAATGCATAGCACGCGGAGTCTTACTCATGCACTGTACAATTGCCCTAGGATATTCTTGCTATTAGTTTTTGCATTAGTTATACTATTTTTCAAGCTCAGAGAGATGTTACTTCTGGCCTGCTGCAGACATCTATGTAATTCACAGTTGGGTCTTATCCATATGCCCTGCAAAACAAATATGATCCTGAAATGGACTGAGAGGGGCATAGGCGCTGAGAGAGTAAGGATGCTTCAGAATCATTCAGTTCTTAGAACACTGCAAAACAGGGGAAGAGGTATAGGCAGTTTCCTCCCTTCTCTTAAAGCTTCTTCATTACTCAACCATATTAGATTGTGTTAGCCATTCAGTTTTAAGCTCTAGAAGAGGAAATGGTGCTTGAGGACATAGTAGAATTGGGTCCCATTTGCAAGCTTTGCTATTCTGTTTTCACTTCGTGTTTAGAATGTTGAAAGCTGTATAAAGAGTACAAAGCAGGAAACTGATGGGTTGTTTTTTTCTAATTTCATTTTCTAGTTGTCAGTTGCGGCGAGGAAAATACCCCAGCATCAAAGGAGATACGTGGTTGGTGAATTTAATAGTTGCAAGGTCACGTTAAGCTTGAAAGCGTATGCTAGGGAATGTAGAACGTAATCGTGCTTTTGAAGGTTTAGCTGGAATTAAACCAGTTGCTTGTTCTCTCTAACTTCCTGTGCATCATTCTGGGGGTTTTGTTCCTCATTGCTCTAGAGAGACTCTTGAGATGGTAAGCTAAAAGAAGGAAGTATAGCAAGGGAGTTTTGGAAAAGGTTAGTGAGGAACAGAAATCCCGTACCAGTCCTCACTCTGTTGTTCCTGAGCAACAAATTCACGCTGCCACTACTAATAGCTTCCAATTGCTGCTTTCACAAAGACGATCTCAAAAGAGCCAACCATTCTCCATCTCACTTTACAGAATTCCTGAATTCACCTAGGAAGTGGGTAGCAGAGTGAGCGAGTTTATCTGTGCCAGTGCCCTTGTCTTTGGGCATGCTCTTTCCTCATCAGTTATCTTCACAGGAGAGTGACAATAAAGTTTCCTTTTTTTATTGTGTTTTCCTCATTTTCTCTTTTCTCACCTATTTTTTTCTTTTCCCCTTTTCCTCGTCTCTTCCTTCTTCTGCCTTCTCCTTGGCTAGAAGTCCATCTTGTTATTTTGGAACTGACTTCCTTATATTGGCTTTCAAAGTAATACTTTTCCTAGGAGTTCACTGCTCTAAACCACCAGAGTAAGGGAAGTGTTTTGCCAGAAAAATGTGTTCAGCTGTTTCTCTTAGTTGCATGTTGCATGTACCAGCAGTATTGCAAGCATTTCGATACCATAAGTGCTTTTAGACTCTGAGACTGGGCCATGCATGGTTCCATGTCGCACACTGAAGTCCTAGCACATACCAGGCTTCACAGCTGCTTGCTTTTTTTATGCATTGAAGTTGGAAGCAGAAGGGCTTCCTTTAAACAGTGCATTCGATGAGGCTTGTTTTGGCTGTAAGGAAATTGACAGATATTCCTGCATTTCTCTGCCTTTAGTATATTCCGTGGTTGCCTTGTATGTACGTTGTAACCACAGTATCTTTTTTCTGTGACCGCTTGTGGGAGGAGGAGGAGAGGGGAAAGATGGGTATTTGTGAATTTAAAACTATCTTCAAAGTGTTTACTTGGCATTGAAAGTTGAGGGATTGCTGCTTAATTTCATGTTTCTGGAGCTGTGGCTACAGCTTTTAAAGATGGAGTAAGTGCAAGGGTTATGGATCTTCACGATGACTAGAAATTTCTGGAAGCAGATGTGCAGGCAGAGGACCAGTGGCAAGTATAATGTAAAAAATGAAGCCTTTGGATTCCACTGAGTGAGTCTAAATGAAGTTATGAGCAGAGATGCAAGATTCAGCTGCATTTTCTAGTTCAGTGGAGATATTTTATATTGGAAGGTGGCTTACATGGTTTTACAGCACGAGTGACTGAACAGCCTAAGGCATCCAAGATGCAGGGGAAAAATGGCTAAATGGATGACAGTGGGAGGACCTAAAAACACATCTAGAAATGTGCGATTTCTAACATTAACAAAGCAATGTTTTCTTCTCATTAAGGTTAGCTCCTGTATTCCTTACTGCACATCTGGGTTTCTTCAGGCATTACAGCAGTTGGAGATAGAATAGCTGGGGAAGCATCAATATCTTCTTTTCATTTGATATCAGTTCTCGTATCTTCCCCGCTTAACCTGAATATACTGTTTCTCTGATCCACTGTGCTGTTTGTAGTACCACAAGCTAGCTAGCTTGTGTTGCCAGACAATAGCATAAACATATCCTCTGCTCTAGGGGAGGTTAAGACCTCCAGTTTGGAAAATGCAAGGGTAACTAGAAGTACTGAAGAAAAAGAAAATAACTAAAGAATAAATAGGTTGTCTCAAACAAGATCAGAGTGAAAAATACATAGGCAGAACATGCTTAGCCTATTATAACTTTAATTGCTCAATACTGTATGTAATAGTTGGCAATGTAGAGCATAGCTGAAGAGGAGCAATAAAGGTAAGACTGTGATAACCTCAGTTTTTGTTTCCTTCTTCCCATTTTTCTTTGCTTGTTCTCTAGGATCATGGTTTCTTCTAATGGAAAGGGCTATCATCATAACGTTACTGTTCTTAGTTATTGCTTTGTGTGCGGCTCAGTTAAGTGCTATTGGTAAGTATTGACTCTTTAATTCTTTGTAATTAATGATTTGCCCTAAAGATTTATCTTAAAATTACATGTGTACCTAAAGGCATCCATGTAAGGTGAAAGATGGTGCTTACACCTGAAAGATATGTGGTAGAATTGTTGCAGATAATACACAGAAAGGTATATGACTGCTTTGTCAGGTATACTGGCTTTTGGTTTGCTCTAGAATCCTCTTCTGATCATCCATGCTGTTACTTACGGTCATTTTTGGGCTTGGTTTTGGCATGAATCAGCTGACACAATTAGAGAGTTAACTTGTATACAGTTCTCAAGGTAGTTCCTAATAAGCAGTATTACTTACACGCTTTCGTGCTGCATAGTCTTCCATTTCCTTTTCAGTGAGCCTTGTGCTCTTTCAGGACATATAGCATACATTTCTATCATGAAGCTGTGAAAACGCTAGTCTGACATAGAATATGCAGAATTTGGGACGTGTGAACTCAGAATATGACCTCTTCAAAACCATGGGTCTTGGGGCTTCAGCGTGCCACAGTCATGCCATTGTGGACACTGGCTCTCTGTTGTAAAGGGGTCTAGCCCTAAGCAGCGGGGTCTGGACCAGTCTGCTCTGTTTGCTTGGAGGTCAAGGGTTGCTTTCTGGGGTTAAGATTTTTAGCAGCTGTATGTCTTCATAGACAAAGATGGGACGTGCAGCTTAAAGGGTCTGTGTTTAGAGCTGGTCCGCCATGAGGTGGTGTTTCTGCTGCCAGTACTGTTGGAAGCTGTGAGCCTTTTTGCATGTGTGTAATTTTGGTGGGGTATAATACATACCATCTCCTGTCATTGGTTAGAATAAGGAAGCTTTATTTCACTGTTGGTTCACCATAACATTATTGAACAGAAACATGTTTCATTTTACAGTCATAAAACCAGTAGTAGAGAAGGATGGTGTTAATATAAAATTGTTCACTGGTCTTTTAGCACAGGCTGAAATATAATTTAACATGGCCATTAATTATTTTGTTCAATCTTTTCAGAGGCAATACATCCATCAGTGTCAAGACATCCTCAGATGCGCTTTATACCAGTCTCCAACACTGTGCAATGTAGAGTGTGCTTTATGGCCTAGTTTTTCAGATGGTTCCCTGTGGTGCAGTTTGTTACATCAGTCTTTGATTTAGGGTTGTTTTTTTTCAGCCTTTTTCAATTTGTAGACTTCTAAAAAGATAAATAAATTCTGCTTGGAGTTGGGGCCATAAGAAATGGAAAGAAATTGCACCCAGTGTGATTTATAGTAATCACATATTCAGCCGTCTGTATATAATTTCCTTTATTACCTTCTCATGAATGTCTGAAAGTGTTGTGGGACTCTTCAAGGGTCCATCCATGAGCAGAGGTTGAAAACGAATACCTGTTTTTAAAACGCTGGTCCATGTTAAGTGGATGTTAATTCTGGACATGCTCCATGCTTTTCATCCTGAAATTTCCTACAGTATTTGCTTGCTGTTTGTGATTACCAATTTCAACATATATCAAGTTGTTGGTGTATTAATTTTCAAGCTTTTGGAGCAAGAGCTGCCTTTTTTTGGTCTCCATTTTAGCAGCGTATAAGGCAGAAACAAATACAGTTTATTATGATGATGTATTTGTACTGTTCCTTCTTTTCTGAAGGCTACTAAAGTGCTGCTGCTTTGAAACCCTCCACTGGAATCAACCATTTCTGAGATGGCTGCTATTTAGCAGTGCAGTTTTACTGAAAAGTAGTCTTGTTTACAGCATCTGAGCATGTAGGTCATCTTATACCTACTCATCTTCAAAGTATTCTGGTGAGGTGGGAATCCTGTTCCGTTGGGGACAGAGGTGATCCAACTGAGTTCGCACAGTGTCACAGGGAAGAGAATTAAACCTGTAATTTCTGAGTCCCTATCTGACACTCACCTGGGTAACAGATTCACTGCAATGTTATTTGTCAGTAATGCATCTCCCTGAGTTAACCTGTGCTGTGTCCCAAAGTTACTGTGATAACTTACCACCTGGATTTTATAAAAGGGTGTAATAAGAATCCTAATCATCAAATCTGTGTGTTTTAGTGAGAGAATTATGCGTCTCTGATTGTTTTCCTCTCTGTCTCTGTTTTGTCTTCAAGTATTAAAATATGAAACTGTACCTCAGAAGAAAACAGGCATTATCGGAGCCATTGCTGCCCTCATAGTTGCTGCTGTTGTAGGCACTGTTCTTTTTGTCCAAGGTAAGTGCATTAAAATTGCCTTCCTAGTTGAAGGGAACAAGAGCACCAGTGAACCTCTTCCATGCAGTAGTATGGAAGTTAATACCGCTTCTTGTTTGCTGTCTACTAATATTAAACTGAAAAAAGAGGTAATAATTATAGAACACAACAGAACCATCACTGTGCTTGTCAGGCCCTCAGGTAATCACAGGGGGATGCAGACACCCAATTTAGTTCTATTTTCTGTCCTGTTACTTTGGGTGAATATTAGGGGCTGGGGGGTGACTTCTGGTGCTTTACTGACGTTTTTTTTCCTGCACCCTAAAAGTCGATACCAGTGATTTACTTCTGGTGCTTTGTGCTTTATTCCAATCAAGTATTTTTGTTTTACTAATTTCCATATAAATGTTTGCAGATGGCTATACTGCACAGAATCAAGCTGGCCTCGGTCTGATTGTAGTCCCTGCTGTGATTTTGGTACCGCTTCAATATGTTATGTTTGGAATCGGTGAGCATTTATTTATTCACTAGCTCAAGAATATACTGATGCTAAACCTGAGTGTCTTTTCTCTCCATCACATGATCTACATACTGCTTTCATTTTCATAAATAGGTGCTACAATAGCATCCTGGATTCTTGACCTTCCTAGTCTCTCAGAACAAAATGTTTAACCTGTATTTGTTTGGCTAAAATGCTTCAGGGAAGAAGTGTATAAGTTACCTGCTTGAAAAATGACATTTGGGGTAGGACATCCGAGTGATTCCTGCTCTTCTTTCCTGGGTCTTGGGGCTGGGATGAGCAATTAAGTTGTTTGTATGTGTTTAGTTTTTTTCTACTTGTGGTTTATTTATAAACTTATTTCTATAGCCATAAATGTTTATGTGTCTGTGTATACATATAAGAGCCCCGAGTGACTTACAGTGACTTGTGAGTTTTGTTATTGCACTGGCTGGCAGAGCTTGGAATTGAAGAGAACCTATTCCCTAGCTTCATAGAAATGATCTATTTTTTGTGTCTCTCTAGTTCAACTTTACAAGTTAAAATTCTGTTTCTCTTTCTGTCTTTCTCAGTCTTTGATAGCCTACCGCAAGCAGCATTTGCTCTGATAGGTTTGCACATTCTTGGTTATGTCATTGCTGTGGTTGGTTTTGCACTGTGTGTCTCAGGTAAGCAATTTATGTTCTGTAAAAGTGTCTTTTTCCTTTTGCCTATGCCTGGTATTTCTTTTATGTCTAGCACTAAAATGCTGTGCAAACAGCTTCACCCCATTGAGTGTTAGCAAGTCACTTCTGTAAATGTATTTTAGGTTTACTGTGCTAACGCTCTTTTATCTGGTGAAAGAAGAATAGCCCGAAGGTAGTATTACGTGTATTGGTTTCATTAGTACGACTGCATCCAGCATGACTGTGTTCTATGAGCAGTTGCTTTTTAAAGCAGAAAAAACAGGTAATTAATTGTGCAACAGTTAATTCCCTGAAGAGTCACCTGAAACCACCACTGAGCTTTATTGCTGTTATTCTTACTGAGGCCTGGGGTACTTAGAAACTAAACTACTAGAACGATTTTCTCATGTTCAATGGATAAATCAGAAATCCCTTGTTAATCTCTGCGACTGATAACTGAGTTGCTAGGAAACTAATACCACTGAAACAGCCTAAGGAGGCAGATGCAGAGGCAGTCAACTTGGAAGCATTCTTGAGACTGTTCTGAGTCTGGTTGTGGCTGGCATTCTGTTTCAGCACTGAAAACCAGTTGCTGTTTTGGAGGAACACCAGTTAAACGCTGCATACAGTGATACCTCTTCTCCCTGCCTTTGTTCCCTGCCTGCTTTCCCCTCTGCCCGTGAGAAAACCCCACAACAGAGAAAAGGGTGAGCTTAGGACTAGGCGTCCTTGGTAGTATATTTAGTAGTAAAATACATAATGAAGCTCATTGGAAAAACTTTAAACCCCTGATTTTGTTTCATAGAGACGTTCTTCATTGATTTGGTTGGTTATTTTATAGAATCATAGAATAGTTAGGGTTGGAAAGGACCTTAAGATCATCCAGTTCCAACCCCCCTGCCATGGGCAGGGACACCTCGCTCTAAACCATATCACCCAAGGCCTCGTCCAACCTGGCCTTGAACAGTGCCAGGGATGGAGCATTCACAACCTCCCTGGGCAACCCATTCCAGTGCCTCAGCACCCTCACAGGAAAGAATTTCCTCCTTATATCCAATCTAAATTTCCCCTGTTTAAGTTTGAACCTGTTACCCTTTGTCCTATCACTACAATCCCTAATGAAGAGTCCCTCCCCAGCATCCCTATAGGCCCCCTTCAGATACTGGAAGGCTGTCTGTTCTGGGTGAAATTTCAGCAGGGTTGTGATTTGAGTTCAGTGCTTATTGTTTAGTATTTATAGAAGTATTTGTAAGGGGCACCCAGGTGTTGTCAAATGTAATAGTAAAATAAGCTGATGAGAGATTTCTGATAAACCTCTAGAGTCACGTGAAATGGAAAATGTATTTATTATGCTCTCAGATGGAAAGTATTCCCAGTTTTTCAGGGTGACCTTTTCAGGCAGGTAGATGGTACCTGTATTTCTGGAAATTAAGCTCAGTGACCCTTGTGTGTCAGTAGAAATAGCTCATCTTAGGTGGAGCTCACAGGTACTTGAGATGACTTCAGGCCGCTGGAAACAAGGATCAGAGGATGAGGAGTTTCTGTGGAGAACTGGGGTTAGTTTGAATAGCCTCTTCCTGCTCTTTGGTACCCCTGTAAACTTGGAGCATCCCTGTTACCTGTGGTGGATTTGCCTCAGAACTACCCTCATAATCTGGTCCCTTCCCATTTTTTATCCTGTTTTGTTAGTAACAGTCTTGTATTCTGTAATTGAATGTGGTTACAGTTCAAAATAAGTGGGACTGAAGATGGAAGTTTGAAATAAAATTAACAGAAGAATGTTGTCAATTGCAGTGAGTGGCAGTAGAATAGCTAAACTCTAATAGAATAGTACAGCTAAGCAGGATGAATCAGTGAATGCCTCTGTATTGTTGAAGAATACATACATAAAAAGGAAGATAGGGGAAATAGTTTTGGGATAGCTTTGAAAGAGAAATGAATCATGTCTGTTTTTATCAGGTGTATTTATTTTAGTATTCACTTACATGTGAAAATAAAAGCTTGTGCTTTTACTTGTGTCAGATAATAGTTTATTTTACCCTGTTTTTAACAGCCTGTCCTCCATTACATGGGTCTGTTGTGATTGCTGGCTTAGCTATTATGGCCATTGCAAATTTGCTTAGTCTGGCTTACGTGTTTATTATGGGTAAGTAGCACCTAATATTCTGCATTATTTTTTTTATCTTTCTGTTTTGGCATCTAAATATTCAGAAGAGCAATTTTTTTCTGTTTTACTTTCAGAGGTAGGCACAGTTTATTTGAACATAAGGTGCAATTTCACAGTTCCATAGTTCAATAAATTACTGACAAGTTGCCTGTATGCATTGGCTTTGTTTTGTAAAGCCTGTGGGCAATCTCTGAGTAAAGAAATTTACAGCTTATCATAAGAAACTGTTTAGAGATCAACACAGACAGGTTTCTTAAGGAAGAGTGTTTCAACTGTTGGATGGATGCTCCTGTTTAATATCTGCAGTTTCACAGCTGCCTGGCTGAAGCTTAGAATGGAGAGAGAGCAAATGGATTTCAAGACTTGTCTGCACCACCCCATAAGCCGTTCTACACAAAGGCTTATCAAAATATGAATGTGAAGAAGCAAAATCTGCCTAGTGATTTCCACTGGTTAGAGGCAGGTTAAAGTGAAGAGTGATTTGAATGCACACCTTTCATATTAGTGAATCCTGCTTTTTCTTGTGCTTAACTGTAAAAGCCAGGAGCAAAGAATAGCAATACTTTGTTTCAGAAACTGATCTGTTCACCAGGTATCAAAAAGGTGAGAGATTTAAAGGTAAAAAAGCCAGTCACGCCTGCTAAATAGGCAAAACCCATGGTAATGCTGTGTGATTGGAATGCTGGCACACCTCAGCATAACATTACATGGACTTTACAGCTTGGGTCTGAGAGCAGAGTGACTGTTTCAAGCTGTGTATGAAGGCTCTTCCAACAGCCTTGTTAGACACAGAACCTTGCAATTAAGGATACATTGCTTCCAGACACAAGCTGATGTGTGTGCAGTCAGTGCTGTCCCTAGTCTGCATTGAACTGTGCAGTCTTTGAGGTTTAGTATGTGCACACCATGTCTGAGCATGGTCAGAAATGACAGACAAGGAGGATTTCTGTTGAAGAAGAAATTAAGGCAGAATGCCTAGTATTTGGTACCTGAGGTAGATAAAGATGAGTCAAAAATGTGACAGACCTGAAGCAAACCTTTTTACAGCAATACAAATAACTTCCTTTGGGGTACTCATCTGTACAACTTTGTGCTAACATTCTGCATTAATATTGCATTTGTACTTTGATTATGCTGGCTGAAGAAGTCAAATGTGACTGTTGGGGTGGATCCCAGCACACCGAAATAATCACAAAGAATAGTGTGTAACATAATTCATTTTTACAGCTGAATGCATGAGTGAGACAATTCGCAGGCTGTACGTGACAAGATTATTTAGTTCCTAAGCAGGGGAGTGCTTAGAGGCTTTAAGAACTTGCAGGTCATCATATTGAGTAGTTTGGATAACAGAAGCTTTGGGTTTGAGTGTTGCTTCTCTGTCGGATATTGTTATTTGCTTGGTAATGACATTTATTCATTTGCCTGGTCACTTTTTCTGTAATTATTTTAGGTTCCAGAATGAAAGATCATCCTCGTCCAGGGGTAAGCTTAAAATTAATAAATTTGGGGTGACTAGATGGCTCAGGGGATTGTAGTGAGATACTGAACCTTTCTTCACTAGTTCCAATTCAGACCAGGTTGGTAGCAAGCAAAAGTTCTGGCTGTGTAACAGATGTCTAATGTGGAGTGAGTTGGTGGTCTTCATTGTCCCTATTGAGTGTGTCTATAGTACTGTAATTGCCGCCCATACCTAATGGCTACACTGACTGTTGTGCCCAAATGGAATTTCAAGGGCTGTCCCAAAAAGGTGGTGGATGTGAAGGGAAGTTTGGTGTTCTTTTACAATGCACTTTCATGTGAATTCATAAAGACCTTTTGCTCACCTTAATGAAGATGCTTTTCATTAAGCTGAGTGCAGAATACCATTGAATTTTTTTCATCTAGGTGGCCTATAACAAAGACTAAGGGTTTGAGTTTTTTTCCTATTGTCTTTTACACCAGAACCCTTTAATTTTTAATTCAGTATTATTTAATATTGAATTCCCAGCTATATTGATGCTACAGTCTTGATCTTTTTATGTTATTTTCCTGTAATGCCCCTTAACTTGCTGAGACCATCTGAAAGCAGAATGTCTGTCTTTAGGTAACACAGAACAAATGGAAAAGCACTTTGTTAAAGAAGGCTTTTCAATCAGTGGTTTTGAATTCTAGAGTAATGGTTCCTAAAGCAGTAATTTTCACAGGCTTAGGCAGTGCTTTCTGGTGATCCATGAATGTGAACTGCCTGATTGCTGGAGTTCTGCAGAAGCAAGTAAAGAGGCACAACTGAAATAGCAGTAAAATCTCCTTGTAGCAGGGGGAGCATGGCAAACACTGTCACTCCATTTCTTGGCTAGCAGCCATCGTTTGAGGCACATTTCCAGGTCTCCTCTTCAGTCTACAGCCTGAGACCCAGCTGTTGAAGAAAGATGGTTCCTAGCAGTGGGGCAGGAGAGCTGACTGCAGATAGGACAACAGAGATATATTACTTCCTCTTATCTATTTTAATTTTAAGGACCAGTTTTCAGGTGATTGCTCCCTTATTTATGAAAGGAATATAAGTGCGTAGAGAAAAAGGCTCACAAAGTTAACTGTTACAAGAATGAGCCAAGAAGTGTATTACAGATACACTTCTTCCAAAACACTTTGCCTTTGTATGATGTACATGTGCTTACTTGAGAATGGAAGCAAACAGGGCAAGAGGAGATTTATTTTGTTTAAACTTAGTTTTTGGTTGTAAGTAAGCTTTGAAATAGAGACGACATGGAACTCCATTCTCTCCATGAGCTTATCTCTTTATGCTGCAGCAAGGATTTCACAAGCAAAGAAATAGCCACAACTTACATGGTAGTGAATACTGTGTTATTCGCTGAATCAGAGACAAGAATGAAGTCAAAAGAAGTTTATAAAGCTTAGTGGTGATTGGAAATCTCAGTCACTGAAAATAGCAGAGGCTCAGATACAGAGGAATTCAGGTGCCAATAATTTGTGGCCATGAACTTCTGAAAATTATGGGGACCTAGTGAAAAATGAGGTGTTTTAATATGTGGCTCATTTGCATTAAGAGCTCTTCAGCATATATTACTTTGAGGCAGTAAATAGATGTAATTTTGCAAGTATGCTTTGATTCTGTGTAATCTAAAGACTATGGAAGACGTAATAACAGTGAAGTGCTTCATTTTGACACTGGGGCACACTCACAAAACACTGCTTTATCTTTTATTGAGCCTAAGAGGGGGAAAAGGGCCTGTTCTGCAATCTGCCATCCTAACCCGTTACTGATGTTTTAATCCTTAACATTTCTGTAGATTGCATGCGGTGTTTCTGATGGGTGTCTACCAGACTAAACGCACAACCGTGGTGTATTTCCTTTTGAGAAACACTTTTGGAATACACTCCCTTGATTGCATGGCTACTATCCCTTTTAGTCATGCTGCTTTAGTACTAACCTTGGAGCAAATCACAGGATAAATCAGTTAGGCGTTAGAGCTTGCAAGTAGTATGTGCATGCATTTTGCTGCCACCTACAGGTATTTCATCGGAGATAAAACATATTCTGGGGAAAAAGTGAATCTGGAGAATGCAGTTATTGGTTGATGTAATGTCTTTCAGAAGCCTAGTCCTGAATTTTATTAACGTCCAGCTTTCTTCGTTTTCATAGAATCACTACTTACTGTATATGTCTATTAGAGTAATTTAACTGTGGCGAGCCAGAAGTAAACATGAAGGCTTTTTATACATATATATATTTTTAAATGTTTTGCAGAAAGCTGTAGAAGAACCACTAAATGGTAGGTGATATTCAAGGCTTATCTTCTAATTAAGGGATTAAGTATGGAAAAAGGTCAAAAATGAATTGTAGCTCTCAATACAACAGCACTGAGATGGCAGATCGGTATGTCAACTAATGTGCTTGTGTGTGTTGGTGAGAGTTTGATCTCCTGATAAAATTATGCCTGCAGCTCCAGACTCCCTGTTCTAACGCTGCTGTGCTTGCTAGCCAGTGGCATTGCTTGACTGCTTTAGGCCCAATCTAATACCAGGATATTAATGTCTATCCGCTTTAATTTGCAAGAAGTTCAACTTGTGAGTGGAAAAGAGGCACAGGTCTTGAAAGTTGATGTTAATTCTTCTTCATAAGCATTTATCTTGGTGGAATGCTTATGATCGTAGCAAAATTTATCCTTGTCACTCTCTTCATATTCCTTTGGGTTGGGCAAACTCCAGCATGGTGTTGGGAAACTCTAATAGTGCTTAAGATTGGGGAAATTAATACGGGGAAAGAGACTGAATGTTATTTAGCTTTTTTCTTTTTGCTATTCTGTTCACTAATTGGCATGCTGAGTAGTAGCAAGTGCTAACCTAAATTTTATAATTAATCTGAATATTAATTATGAAGCATTTCTTGCTGTTTTGCTCATTACTAACCCATTTGCTTGGCTTTTAAAGATGCAAAAGGAGTGATGTTAGAATGATGGTAAGTCCAAGTATATCTCCAGATCCTTGTTTTCATTAACATGTACTTGGGGGTTTGGATGCTTATAATTACCCACTACTGGTGTAATATGATAGCATTTGAAGGACAGGGTTCAGTGCAGGTACTGTTTTTACTCAGATTATATTTCATTGAAAAGAAAGAATACATCTTTTCTGTATTACGCATAGGGGAAGAATGTGTGTTTCTAAGCAGTGAAGAGGGTGACTCAGCTATTAAATAGTATGTTTCTGATCAAATGTGGGAAAGTCAAATAGTTTGTATGCTTTAAGTATTTAAGATGGATGGTCTGTTTCCTTGGTGGTGGGTTGTGGTTGGTTTTTGTTTTGGTGGTGGTCTTTGTCATTGATGTTAATGTAAGTAAGGCTTCTCTATGGAAGCTCACAGGAAAGTGGTTTGAAAGTAGACTTTCTCTACCCCTTCCCCCTTTAGATGCTGTCTGCATTCTCTGGATTTTGTTGCATTGTATTGCAGTCAGATTTCACTCAATTTTATTATTTGTTTTAGGGTCAGATAGGAGTGTTTAAAAACCAACAGAGCTTAAACACCTTGATAACATTTAAGAACAGCTTAAATAACTTCAAGTTCTGTTTGAGAAACCTGCATTCTGATCTTCTAATGGAGCACTGTGACTTCTGCCCATTGGATATTCTGTGTATTTAAAGATCTACCAAATACAGTAATCAGAGATGTATTATTTCACTGTCCCGGCCTCATTTAAGCTTTCTTCTGATTTAAACTGTCCTTAATGCTGGTATTAATAGCCTGTAAGATTGCAACATGTACTACAGGTAGACTCCTCATTTACAATACTCCGTGAAATGAGAGGGACTGTGTTAACTTGGCCCCAGATTTCCAAACTGGTACCTGAATTGGGTAGCCTGCTTTGCAAAGTTTCTTGCTTCCTGCAGCTCATAGCCATCCAAGAGCAGCAGAATTTGCCTGGCCACATTGCTCTCATTGAAGATCTTGTATTCTAGATTAGATGCTCAGGTTTAAAAAAGAAAAGTCCTTTTATTGATTCTTTTCTATTCAGAAGCTGTATTTCCTTTACATGGGAGCAGGATAAAAGAGCACTTGTTGATGCTATTGGTATTTGGGTTTCTTCCTGGAAACTAAGCTTGTCATGATGTATCACTAGACCCTTAGCATAGTACTCCTGCATCAAGTTATGGTGTTTTGCTTGTCAGTAGTAAAGTCACTCTGAATCTGTTAATTCAGAGTGTTAATTTACTTGAAGTATTTTTATATGATGCCACTTCTGGAAGGCATGAATTAACGATGTGGCAATAAACATAAAGGTGCATTAGTTGACGTTTTAAAACAGGCTTCCTTACAAACAGCATGGATTTATGTTTCCATGTGATTCTTCCAAATACACCATTGTATTATTTTCTAAACCAATAGGGATGCAAGCACTTTTGCAGTACAGAGAACAGCTCTATTGGTTTCTCCTAAATATGTTGATAAATGTATACCACTTAGTGTAATGAGGAGTGGGTGGTAGGTCCTTGTTTTTCAAGGCAGTTGCTTGGGATCAGGAAACAAATAGATATTTGCCAGTCTACTGCATTGAAAACTGACCAGAAGAGAAATAGGTATGGGATCAGTACAGTTAGCACATGCTGAAGAGCAAGGTAGAGTTCTGCTTGGAGATCCAGTTTTAAGTAAGTTGACTGTTTCTCCTTAGGTCTCGTTTAGTCTTATAACAACATGCCTCCTCTTGTAGTGCTGAGGTGGAGCTTCCAAAAGCCCAGGAATCGCTAATTATCCATTTTATTTTTGACTTTTAGGGTAGGGTTAGAAATCTGCTTTTTCTGCTCCTAAAAATACCTGGAGGTTTTGCAGATCAAAGGCTATGGGCTCTGACTCGCAAGCTCGAGGCAAGAACCTTTTGAGCTTTGTTATTCCCTTGAAAGCTCACACACACACAGTGAGGGTGAGGATGGGTCAGATGCTGAAGCACACTAACATAGAAAATAGTGTGTGAAAGTAAACCAGTGTTGGTAGTGAAGACAGGATGGGTCAGACAGCTAAATCTGGGAGCTGCTACAGCTGATTCCAGGTCATGAGTCGGAGCTCCAGGACAGCGTCCGCCTTTTCTGTTGTCGAGAGGCTGAAACATCACTTACTGTTAGTGCCATTGAGCATCAGCACTGAGTGTGCTTTCGGAGTTTGAAATAGAAATAGGTCATTTTGTAAGCTGTAAGCACAAAATGATGCTGCCCTTCCCAAACAATCTTTCTTTCTTTCTTTCTTTAACTCACAGAACTGCAGAGCAATGTGATACGTGAAAAGTACACCGTTGTTGATACACCGTGGCCTTGAAGATGCACTACTCAACGAGAAGAAATTCAGGAAACTAGTTGTTTTGCATGTGTGGCAAAAGTGCTTTTGATATAAATGAGGTCATTTTCTAGTCACAGCAGCTGTAGCAAGGACCATGTGTGTTTGCCCACATGTGATCTTTCTTTCTTTTGTTACGGTATATGTGGGATGTTTGAGGGTGAGCATATGAAAAGCACTGTTTGCCCACTGCAGGGTCTCCCTGCAGGAATCCTTAGTGGTATTATTTTCAGAAGCTATCATTAGTCACTGCTTCGATAACGGGCCTGCTCGGCCCACAGATTGCAATACCATTTAGACTATTGTTTTCTTTATTTGTGTGCATGGGCAAGGTATGGTCATACGTCTATGATACAAGCAGGAAATCAAGACTGTACAAAGACATCTTTCTCTGACATTCAGCAAAACTTTTCTATAAAAAGAATAAATAAAATGCTTATACACAAAGTTCCATCAGTACAAAGTTTACTCCCAGCTCTCCTTAAGTCAGTAACTGGGTTCTCCTGGTTCCACGAAACAGTAGTGTTCCTCTCTATGGACAGTAGTCATGTGTGCTCTGGTGGCCAATATTTTAGTCCAGTGAGAGAGTTCTCTGTGCCTCTTCTGTATTCTTTGATGAGAAACTGCTCAGCTGTTGGAGCCTAATTCAGCACTGGAATTATGGAGCACAGCAGCTAGTAATTTTCATGCTGAATGTGGTTCTTGTGTGTGTTCATGTCGTGTGGTGTGTGGTACTGGAAGCAACTTCAGGCTTTCTTAACTCAGTGAATTTGTAAAAGTCATGGATGCTTCATAAAAATAGGAGTTGTCCTATTTAGTGTACATTGGACAGAGTTTTAAAACCTTGTTTTGGAAACAAGGAGCTATTCCATTTCTGACCCAAGTTTGTGATGCTGCCGTTACATCACAAATAGATAAAATAGAAAGTAAGTAGGAGGAGCTGATGAGAAGCGAGGAGGCTCAGTTTCTGTATATATGTAAGTGGTACAGTTAAAAACCAATTTTTTTCTAGGACTTGCACATTCCATGAGATTTTACCACGTTTTATAACTGTTTTGAGAGTTGTTCCAATGCAGTTGGCTTCTCTTGGGCTTCATGTATACTTCGTAGAAATCTTGATGCTGTCTCCTTTTCATCCTAAGGGAATGCCTTTCAAAGGCACCACGTTTTTCTCCTCCTAGCAATTAAAAACTTGGTTTGGAAAGCTCTTACCAAACAGTCATGTGAAAAAATAATAAATCCATGTCTTTAAAGATTTTTGAGTAATTTGGCACATCTGGATGTGCATGTTACGAGCTAAGGTTCATATCCATGTTTGGGTGCATGTTGCAGGGATTCTGGTCTCTGCATATTGAGCTCCAATCTTGGTGCAGTCACCTTGCATCAAGAGAATGAAATTGAGGTATCTGATTGTACAACACTGACTCTTATGAACAGCCCTCTTGCTAGGGCTGCAGGGGTGAACAGCTTAAAGCAGCCCACGGTCCAGCCCTTGCTCAGATCAGTGGAACTGGCCACAGTGAAGAGGGTTATTAGTGTGATAAAAAGTTAAGAAGCGTGTACGATTTACACTTTGCTTTCATACCTTCAGTCTGTCAGTGGGAGTATTCATCTGATATCTGAGCTCCTATGTATGAATCTTGATACAGACTTTTCCGTAATCCCAGCAATCACTACCTAAAGAAAGGGAGATTACTCTCCATTAACAATTCAGTGTAAGAATTGACCTGATTAAGTACCATGCAGAGCTCCCTCTTTATAACTAGTGATTTCCTCTGGCAAGCTGAAAGTTGAGCAGTTGAGGAATAAAAACCAAACCAACTGGAATTGTGTTGTGGTATTCTGCCTTATCAAAACCATTATGTATAATAGCTTTATGTTAACTTCTGTAAAGCAGACTGCAGTAGAACCTGTTTGTGTCATGGTGGGATGAGGCCGAGCTGTTACTAAGCACTGCTGAAACAAGAGGAGCTTGATGGCTGTGAACAGGCTGCAGGAGCAATTGCCCCACAAATGGGGGAAACTCACTATCCTGTTGTTGTGTTAAGGGCTCTGCTCTGGATTTCACGTGGGTACAGATGTACAAGGGAGCGTTTAAAAAGTCACTGATAACACCCAGCCTTTTCCCACCAGTATTTTCAGACCAAAGTTGTTCATAACTGTATGCTTCCATTCGTGAGTGTACGTATGTGTGTATGTATAAATATATAGACATTTTAAATATCTATAGCTCTATAGTCTTTACCCAAGAAAATGTTTTTATTTATGAATCATGAAACAATTTTGTAAATATTGTGCTAATATACTTAAAAAATAAAGTCATTTTAAGTTGTTCTTGTGATTTTTCTTGTTGCTCTCACACAGCTCCTCTTTTTTCCCCTCTTTTTTCCCTCTTTTTCCCCTGTCAGGTTGCCTTTTATGCTACCCTTTTTCCTCATCCCAACTCTCCAGCAAATGATAAAACCCAAATGGGAATGGAAAATTGCATAATTAAAAAGGAAATAAAAATCAACAAATAATTCTGGGCCATGAGGCTGGGTTTGGCATTTGCAATGACAGCACACCAGAGCACCAAAGTGTAAACAGCTTTAAATGTCACACTGAGCATGAAATGAAGCTGATTACAGCATCAGTAAGGAAGGATGATTAATGTATGGTAAGATGTGTCATGACCATGCCAGTCACAGTGAAGGTGATGGAGGAGAAGACAGTACCTGTTCCCCAGGGCCAGCTAAATGAGCTACATAAACTCCATTGGAGACAAGTGTGAGCTCTTGAGAGGCTCTGCAGGTGAATTAGTAGCATGACCCATGTCAGGAAGCCAGGAGGGAGAAAATGCTGGAACAAAACAAACAGCACAGGGGATGAATCCTGTGCCAAAAGGTACAAGATGCCATTCATTTATTTCCCAGCAGCACAAAAACACCCTCTTCATCACACGCACTTGGTGAGGGCCTGCTCTGTGCATGAACCCGCTCTCGATCCAGATTGCGGCTTCAAGCTCGGAAACCTGAATAGAATAACCTTGGGACACAGTGGGATCTGCCAGGCCAAAATGTGGCTCCAAGCTTTGAAGGTACCACATCACACAGGTGATGCCAAACCAGAGCTCATTCCCAGGCTTCTCAGTCTGGAAAACCAAACTCACTCCAAGAGCTGTGCTGTGTGGTGATTCCTTTTCCTGTTACTGCCGAGTTACTCCTCATAGGATTCCCCTGTATTCCAGCCTAAACCAGCTTGAGATGGGGATGCTTTCCCCACATCCCTTGGGTGCCTGCGTGCACGCTCCTGAGCTTCTGAAGGGTGGCCAGTGGACCAGGATCCTGGCTTAGGTTTGCTCCCATCACTTTTAACCCTCAGAGCAGCTGGTGCCAGGGTCTCCAGTGCCCATGGGACACTCACATGGCAAACGCTGCCAGCTCGGAGCTGCTCCCCACTGCTCAGCCAAGCTGCTGAGGTGCAGCCTCTGAAACACCAATTGAAGCACCCTGGGCTCCTACGACATGGCATGAGCGCAAGGTTTGGGTTGCTTTGCATTGAATAGCAGGCCTGCCTCTGTTGGCACTGCATGAACAAGCTGGAGCTGCCCGTGCAGAAGTTGCCTGTGTGCCAACAGAAGCAAAAGGTTGGTTTTCCTTTGGCGTGAAGGTGAATAAAGAAAAACACCCCAAACGCAACTGCTTTTAGGCTTAAGCCTGCCTGATGCTCTTTGCTTGGTTGGGGTCAACTGTCCTAACCCCTTGTGCATCCCCAGCCACTCACTGCTGGGGTGAGGGGCAGAAAAGGCCTTGGCTCTGTGCAAGCCCTGCTCAGCAGGAACTAAAACATCCCTGTGTTATCAGCCCTGTTTCCAGCACAAACCCACAACACAGACCCATACCAGCTGCTATAAAGACAATGAACTCTATCCCAGCCAAAACCAGCACACGTGGGAATTGCAGTCTTCCTGCCCCCAGAGCAACAGTAACAGCCTTATGTATGTCTGCAGCCCCCATGGCCTTGGCTGAGGAAACTGAATGCTGGAAAATCTATGGAGTGAAATAACTCACACCTTTTCCATCCTTTTTCTATAGCTCTTTTTTTCCCCTTTTAATTCTAATTGCAGATGTGTCTGAAAACTCAAGCCTCGTGCCAATGGGCATTGCGTGCTGGTTTTGTTCCCTCCAGCTCACCCGTGGTTCTCCCTTGTGAGAGGAAACCTGGTTCTCAAAGCTGAGTGTGATGAAGCTGTTTAACCTTTCTCCTGAGCTCTAACTGTTCCTGGTGCCCATGGCATGAGTGATGCCTAGAGTGATGCCCGTTCACATTCCACATGGGAGAGACCTTGCTCTTCCTCCACATTACATCTGACTGGACACAACGGAGTGTGAGCCACTCACCGAGGCCTCCTCAACAGCCAGAAGGAAGGAAAAGCACATCTGCAAGGCAACATCCACCACCTGATTTGGGATGGGTGCGCATCACCCTCAGGCAAGTTTGTCTTTGGTGTTCATAACCAAGATGTAAATGCTGCCCCATCCCTGGCAGTGTCCAAGGCCAGATTGGACACAGGGGCTTGGAGCAAGCTGCTCCATTGGAAGGTGTCCCTGCCCATGGCAGGGGTTGGAACTGGAGGGTTTAAGGTCCCTTCCAACCCAAACCATTTTATGATTCATTTAGGAAGGACAAGGCTAGGCCAGGTGGTTGCCATGTCAGGGCCATAGCTGAATGTCCCAAAAGGGGATAATGGTCGCTTTTAATCAGCCATGATTTATTATTATTTGCTGGTGGTGCATTTCTTAATGGCTTATTTCCTGGTATCACTTGTTAAATGTGTTTTTAAAGATGAGCTTTGGCTGAGCCAGCATGTAGTTTCTGAGGTTGTATTCCAAGGGTTGCTACGGTAGGAAGGAGGTTTGGAGGGACTGAGCTCCTCAAGCTATGCACCAATGCAGCAGAATGGTGCCCTATGTGTACACCTCTGGTGATGCAGAGATGTGCTGCTTGACTTCTCCGCTTTGCAAAGCCATGCTACAGCCCCGTTGCTTTGCCAGAGAGATCTGCAGAAGTGGTCATCAGTGGATGCTCACCACTGTGCTAGACCTGCAGGCAAAACCTGCTGTTAAGGCAGGACAGATGTGACTGCAGCATGTGAGAAAGGACACAGGTCTGAAACTCTGTTTCATGGAAAGGGAAAAATCCCCCTTGTGATTGCTGGGATGGGCAAGGTGTGCATTGACTGGAAGACTGGAGGCTTGAGGGCTCATGCATGCATTCTGCATCATGAGAACAGTGTTTTGGAGCAGCTCCCTTCTTTGGGAACATCCTGCAGGGTTCATGGAAAGAGCAGCAGGACACTGTTGTTCCCTGGGAATAGCTCTGAAATCACTGGGTACCCTGTGCCAGAGAGGCACTGAGCCACCCTCCTGTGAGGAGGAGGATGTCCAGCATCATGTCTTAATGACTGGTCCATGCCTTTCAGAGCGCGGGGCCCACCTTGCCTCCGGAGGCTGTTTGTCTTTGAGGATAATGGTCTCCAAACCGGCAGGGGCTCTCTTTTGCAAGGGATTATCCCTAACAAAGCTAGAAGAGAGCAACCGGGAACATGTGTCATGATTATTCATAAAGGCCAATTAAAAATGGCATTAGTGCCTTAATTCTCCCTTAGCGAGCGTGGCTGCTGGATCCGTGCTTTGTTTTGATTCAGATGATCTCCGCAGCAGGGTGAATCACTCGAACTGGAGCCCATAGCTTTTGAAATACCAGCTTTTCCTTAGGGAAGCAGGAAAACAGAACCAAAACTCAAATTCAGGTGATTAAAAGAAGCAATTTAAAAATACCTGCTTTAAAGTCCTGGTGTATTTTAACCTCTGAAAATATTCAAGTGTTTGGTCAGGCTGTTTTAACCAATACATAGGTCCTTAAACCGCTTTGAAACCTCATGATGCTGCCAAACCTAGGCATTGGGGCTGGGAGGTGGGATGGGAAGGTTAAACAGAGGGAAACGTCTTCCCTTCTTGAAGTGTGTCTGTGGGGTTTTATGCAATAGAAAAGTGCTGTTGAAGGCTTTTAGGCGCTGTTGAGGCTTTTGGATACTGTTTCAGCCCAACCAAGCAAAATCAGGTAAGACTGAGGATCACAGCAGCCTTTGGCATCATGCCTGGCTTTCCCAGTCTACCTATGGTCATGGCTATGGTCAGGAAAACACATATGAGCTTGTACCCATTCCTGATTTTCTGTATGGCAACCAATAGTTACCTCAAGATAAGGAGATGAAGAGACTTTTATCATTGTGCTGTGGTATGTAAGGTAAATAATCAGATACATGCACACACATATGTACATAAATACATGTATGTGCATGCTACATACATTACACCATATAGGAGTGGTGAATGCACCATGCCCTAGGGATAGAAGCAAAGGTAGCCTTATTTTGCAGCCTGCAATGGTACGTCAGCTTGGAAAACAAGAAAAGTGATGGTTAATCTGATCTTTCTTGCTGTACATCTGCTTCACTTCAATGCCTTGAGGGCTTTATTAATGGACTTTATGAAAAGCCTAATCTTTCTGTCCACTCTGCTAAAGGTTGGGAAGCCCCTAATGCATGGTCCTGAATAGAAACCTTCCGCAGAAACCAGGCAAGGAAACTCATCAGCCCAACCAGACATTTTAAGAGCAAAAACTACGATTTCCTTTCCATCAGTGCTTCTAACCACAATAGAGATTTCCTTGGCCATAGCGGAAAGGTGGAAACACCTCCCCTGGCAGGGTCTGGATTCCCAGCCCTGCTTCCAGCCGTCACGAACAGGGGTTTGCAGGTGGGGAGATGTGAGCTGGTGTGTCCCCCTGCCAGCAGCAGACGTGGTCTTGGTTTTCCCCAGGCTCTGGTGTGAGCGCAAGGAGGGATGCTCAGGTGGGATGCTCAGGTGGGATGCACGCAGCAGCCACACTGCTGGCTTGCTCAGCAGCTCTACTGCAAAGGCTTGGGCAAGGGACAAGCATCTGTGTCTGTACCATCACCCCAGCTGTAGCTACTCCCTGTTAGCTGCAAAACTACGCCATGAAGGGCAAGCAATCAGTCAAAAAGGGTAAATCAGAAGTGCATCTGCAGGTGTAATTCAAGTCGATGCCTACCTAATATTGCAGCAGCTGCTCTGTGTTTGGTTAAGCTGCAAGGAAAGGAACACAGGCGTTTTGAAGGCTTCCAGAATAATGTGAATGCTTCAATATAGCACAGGCTTTTTTGAGGGGTGTGAAAGCATCAAGTGTGAGAAGGAGAAGGCAGAGCAGTGGGTATTTGTAAAGGTAGCCAGTGGAAAGGAAGAAGCACAGGCTCGGGGCTGGCCAGTAGT